TTCTCACATTCTATTGCTATTTTTCAAGCCATTATTTCTTAAAGCCCTTTGAGCACTTAAAATCTACTATTAATGGCACGAAACAGCACATCTTTCTTTTTTTGCCTTATTCTTGGAAAAAGTTAAATGCAGTGTCTGGGTTATCTGAGTTTTTGGTGGCTTTTTTTTTTCCCCAGTAAAATTTACAGCGAGGAAACTGGGGAGTATTTCTGCAGGGTAAGCAAAACAAGCCAAAGGGAAGCTGCAGCACTATGCAATGCCCTGGGAGTACATGCCGCTTGTACATGTCTGCATCCTAACACCTATCCCTCAGGACCTGGGAAGGATTTGGGAAGTGATGGGAAATCAAACCCCATTAACACTGCGGTTGCTTTATTTCAAAGAACAATAATCTCTAAAGTGAGCCTGCATCACAAAGACATGCCATTCACAAACATGAGTTCAAATTTTACCAGACATTTATGGAAGAATAATATCTATTACTGCTAATACAACACGGTCTAAAATGAATATTCAGGTACAGTTCAGAAGCCAGAATTAACAAAGTAAGATATTTTAATAATCTAAAATAACAGTATGGTAGATGTATGGCACAGACATGCTGAGGACATACAGAAAAGCCAGAATGATCTTCTGCCACAGATAATGAGAACGAATAGAAAACATCAAAGCTATCAGACTGATTAGTACATTCTTCTCAAAGAGAGACCACCACGAGCAGCACAACCACGGAAACAGAAGAAATACCAGTCTAAACTCCTTGGACCCATTAAGCAGGCAAAAGCAGAACAGCTGCTCTGAAGAGCAGCAGCAAACAGCAAGATGCAAAGAGGAGATGAACTTGATGTAAGCATGAGCAATTTCTTATTTTTATTAGAAGGAGTAAACCAAAGATGAGAGATAATTTTGACTGATAACATGGGCAGAACAGAATTGGCTACAATGGTTTATTAACGTTTAAGATGGCCTCACTTCTTGTTGACAAAACGCGGGGTAAAATCCAATCCCTTTTCTAACAGAACAGAACTGATCTCTTGAGAATATTCTTAGCTTCTGAGGTGCAGATAAAGCACAGGCATCACATGCGTTTGGTAGGTACCGCCTAGAGGCGCACTGATAGTACATTTGTTACATAGTGTTATGTGTTAATACTTTGGTGTTTATCCATAATCCTTTCCTCCTCCTTTGATAGTTTAGTTATTGCACAATTTTAATACGCCTGTAATACAGAAATAATATTTTGAATCTTATAAATAAACAAAACTAAAGGGTGATTAGGCAAGCTGTATTTCCTTAACAGTTTTAATATTTCTTTTTGTCTGTTATGACTTCTGATGCCGTAAAAATTCATACTTTACTCTCTATTGACAAAGTTGCCAACGCTACATGAAGTTTTCTCTGAAAAAAAATTTTTGTAAAAACAGATCTTTAGGAAACACATGACTTGAGCAGAAGAACAAAGAAAAAGCACTGAAGTCTATGCACCGATAAAAAGAATACCCTATTTCATAAACTAAAATATAACCATCAAGGTAGCACAGAAATGACACCAAAACCTTATTTTTACCTGTCCTTTAATACCCTTGTCCTTCAAAGCCTTTATGTCATCATGAGTCAGTTTTTGAGACTTTCCATCGTCAACTATGTTACGATTATCTGTACCTGCTTCTTTTGTTTCTAAAGGAAAAGGATATAGACTTGTAAAATCTAGCTCTAAATATCTTTAAGTTGGAAAACATATGATTTTAGTTTCACAGAAAGCAGACTTCTCAGGATTAAACCCACATGCTTCATGGCCTTGCAAAGTATTGCCCAAGCAATCAATGAAATGTAATATGTAAAATAAACCTTAGTATATATATTCACCCCAACTAAGGTTCAGATTTTCTCCCATATTAAAAAGCTGATTTGTTACAGGACTAGTGAAACAGCAGATCAAGACAAAACCATGCACTTTTATGACAGAAAGAATATAAGTAACATTAAGTTAACAAATGATTAATAGAAAGCTTTTCCATCATCTTTGGTATTATCAAAGAAACAAATTAAATAGAACTCGTTTTTCCAAACACCAGTCAATCCTCTCTAATACCTGTAGTAGTCTCTTCCACCTCTTGCTTTGGCTGGAGGTTTCCACCACTGGTTACTTCAAATGTAGTTCCATAGATATGTCCGATGGCATTATCCAGATAGAACCACTGCTTCTCAAAAATAATTTTTCTGAAATAATAAAGTTAATGATATTAAAAGCATTATTTTTACTATGTCTGAAACCCACCATAGTTGAAAGTAAACTATAGCTTCACATATGCCATTTTTATCTGTATCCTTGAAGAAAACCAGGACAAGCATAAAAAGTGAAACACCAACTACTATTAACCACAAAACCACATTAAACTGAAACTGGTTAGGAGAAGAACAAAGAACTTAAATTGAGCATACAGCAAGAATTTTTTTTCAGTTCAAAAGAATTCTAAAATGGCAGATAAAACAAGGATATAGCACTTGAATTATATAGTACCATTTTTGACAGAGAAAGTCAGAACAAGGCAAAGAATGAAATTAATCTAAAGTACATGAAATCTAGGTTGGGTCATGGAGATTAGTGCAAAAAGATGAGCATGAACATATATTTTGCAGAGCTCCTTTGAAATAACATTTGCCAAAGGACTATGAAGAAAACAGACAGCAGTGTCATGTAATCCTACAAAGGTTTAATAATACAAAAAAAAAAAAAGTATCATCTTTCATTTTGATTGCCCTAAGGGAGGTTTGCATTTTTCCTTCTTCACACAAAAAAGGACCCACAAAGCCTTTAACTTTCAGGCTCACCTACAAAGGTTTCCTTGCTGACCAGAGAAATACTGATCTTCTCAAATGAAACAGGTACTATGTCACACAGTCAGGTGTGAAACAGGTACTATGGTGGAACAGGTACTGTTTATGTCACACATCGACACAGGTCTATGCCGCACTCACATTTGAATCAAAACTTACCGATATGAGCTCTTATTATGCTGATTATACTCATCACTAACTCTGAAGCTGAGCAAAAAGATTGAGTTCTTTGTTATTTCCAGTTTTCTACTGACTGAAGTAGACAATTCATGCATATATTTTAAATACGATATTATTCATACCCCAAAATACAATGCAGAATTTAAATAAAGCATAAGAATAAAAAGGTCTGTCAGACATATTACCAAACCCTCTTAATAAAAAATTAACATTATACTTGCTCATGTAAAGTCTATTAATCCCTGCCAACACAGATCTTAAAAGACTAATAAATGATTATAAAAGACTTGAAATGACTGAAAAGAATTTATATAGATAAGAAATTGTGTACATGTGCTCAAATTTCATTTTGATGTCCCTTCTAAACAGAATATCCAACCACAGCTATTGTCACATGTTCTTGGAGTGTCCTTACCCTCATCAGATTATAGAAAAGAAAAAATTAATGCAAAAATTATTTAATTTCCTGTGACAATATTTACTTTTTGACTTTTTTACTCTTTCTTTCTTTTATCATAGGGGTTTTAAACAAAAACTGAGGAGGGACCTAATGAACAGATCTTGGCAGTGCTCTGCAGGCTAACAGAGTAACTACCTGATTTTGGTGCCAGATTCTACTGGCGAACATGAAGCCTATCAATAACCAGTACTCCCAAATTCTTAGGTCCAAGCTATGCCATTTTTAAACCAGTCTTATTCAAGCATAGTACTTTCAAATCTCCACGCTACTGAATCAGATGTCTGGCCACATTACCCAATACTGACTTCTACACATAAACTATACATACTATACACTATAAGACTGTATGCTGCAATGGAAAGAGACCAGACTGTGTCCACTGATTACAGTATTTCCTGCTGGGGTGCAGGCACTTCTTGCTATGCCAGCTGGCCTAGGAAAAAGAAATAGGAGACCTTTCATAGCATCCTCTCCAAAGCAGTAACTACCCAGAACTGACAGCTAGCATCTTCCTACAGTCTAACACCGATGAGACCACTGAAGCCAATCCCTATTATTAACAAGGCAGTGCTGGATCTCACAGAAATTACATGCCACAGTGAAATAAGTATGATGAAGATATGCTTCTCAGGCTGCTGCGCCTCTTCTCCTATTCAATCGGTACCAGTTTGACAATGACAACACAAAACCACATTAAATATCTTTCAAATTCTTACAAAAACCGCAGCCAGATCTTCCGGGATTTTTCAGTCACAGGAACGGAGACAGCATTAAAATTTTTCATGCTGCCTGTCACATGGGCCTAGCGAGGCCGTTATTTCTGACTAGCACGACAGGAAAGCTATGGGTCACATCGCACCAGAACCCCCCCTTCCCTCAGCTGGGGCCGCGCGACGGCCGCTGGAATCGCCTCACGGAGGGGTGGGGGGAGGGGAAGGCGCAAACCTTGGCCGAGGGGGGAGACGACAAGCGGGATCGAAAGCCCCAGACCGGCTCCTCACCTCCGCCGTAGCACGGCTACCGCTTTGAAGACGTCGTCCCGCTTGAGGACGGCGCAATCCCCCTCACAAATGCGCGCGCCCGGCCTCAGGCCGTCCTCCATCGCCACAGCCGCTCGTGCGCCTTCCG